CGGGGTGGGGCGGGGCGGGGCGGGGCGTGCTCAATCAGTCCGAGGGTCGAGTAGAGTAGTCTAGCCGCGGGGCCCAGCGCACGCAGCCATGCGGGCCGGGCTACGCTTATCTGGCACGTCTCCGCCGCCGAATCGAGTATAAATGGGAAGGGGGTGATTTTCCAAAGCGGCGCGTCTCGTTTTCGAAAACAGAAAACATGCGCCTTTCTCTGCCCTCCTATGCCGAAGCCCTAGGATGGGCGGCGGACGCCGCCGGGACGCTGCGCGGAGGTCACGGGGGTCGGGGGTGCGCCGAACCTAAGCCGACCTGGCCTTCTGCGTTGTATAACCTGGTTAGGCCGCGCCGGGCGCGCCTGCGGGGGGGCTTACTCAGGTGTGCCTGATAACGACCCGACTCGGGTCGGGCATCTGTGAGTGCGTTCTGCGTCGCAGACTTGGACTGCAAAAAAGAGGCGCGAATCCTTAAAGGACATGCGGAGATTGTTTGCGAGCTGCAAGAAAAGCATTCGCCTCTCGAGGAGGCGGCGCGGGCTCAACTCCCCGCGTCTATCTCTGTCATGTTTCGAGTTGTAGCCGTGATCGGCAGGAGTGTATGTTTTGGGTCCATTTCAGCTCGCGAGCAGACAATGGCAGCCTGACACGAGCGCCCCTCCGGCACCTGATCGTCTCCACCTTCGCCGTTGCGTTGACAGATCGGCAAAGAAACGAGCGGCGGGGCGGCGCCCCCCGAGAGGCGCGACGGGAAGCGGCACGGCCCGCAAGATACTTCCTCTTCGATACCGATCATTGTCCCTTCCAGTTTGTTTTTTTAAAGATGAGGTTCTGGTATGTGTGCGTTTTTTTGGTCTTGACCCCTGACCCGCTGGCTGACGCGGTCCCTGGCCCCGGAGGTGCGCGGCACCGCTCGCGAAGAGCGCCGCGCTTCACTCCAATAGGATCTGTGGATCTGCGTGAAGACCATACGAGTTGCGCTCGGTGCCACATGCCACATTTGTCGGTTCCTGATCCTGATGCCGATTGATTGCTCATTATCACTCCCGAAATAAATCCGCTGTCGCGAGCGACTCTCGCGCTCTGCGCTCTCTCGCCGCGCTCGCTGGGCGCGCTGGGGGGGAGGGGGGGGGGCAGGGGGCGGCACTAGACAGCGCTAGACTGGCGGGCTGATTAGGCCGGCCGAACCATTCACGTGGATATCACTCCCTCGCCCGCTCATCATCGCCGCCCGGCGACTCTCTCGCTCGGATAACGCGGGATGGTAAACAAATGTGGTGGCGGACGAGGGGGTGAATCGGTGGAGGGAGGAGGGGGAGCAAAACCTCAAGACTCGAGAGAGCGGGAGAGAGAGGGAGAAGGATGGAGCGGAAGCGACGAATAAGCAGGACAGTGTGTCCGGGCGGGAGTGTGTACGGAGTGCCATGTTAGAGAGACGCGAACGTGCGGCCCCCGCGTCGCGCACCGGCTCGACCTGCCGGCGACCACGTGCTTGTGGCGGGCGGGACGCGGTGGCGGGGCGCGGGGCGGCGGCGGCGGAGCGCGGGGCAGCGCGGGGCCCCCCGGTCGGGCGCTCTGGTGCGGCCTGCTGGGCCCACCGACGCCGGCCGGTCGCGGCAGTCCGTCTCGATCCCGTGGCGCGCGCGCAGCCTGACTTGGCCTCCTCGGTGCCTCAGCAGCAGCAGCAGTCACAGCTTGCCCGACCAGTTTGAGTGATTGACTGTGCACGCCCCGCGCGCCCCGCCCCGCTGCAGGATCGTAGGAACGTCCTCTTCAGGCCCCGTGAGCCCCGCGCTCACCGTCGCGCTCACCTCCTTTATCTCGTGCCGCGCTCACCGCCGCGCACCCCGCCATCGACATGGCCAGGATGCGCGTCCCGCAGTTGTTGTAGCGCCGTCCCCGGGAGCAGGCAGCAGGCCTATAGGCCTCTGTTTCCAGCACGCGGACGCAGCGACACGGCTCGTCCTGCCGCACCAGAGGTAAGCTAAGCTCAGCAACAGGTGCCTCTGTCTGTGATCACGACCTGCACCTCGTGCGGTAGCGAGAGGGCGTCTCGGTGTGGGGCTTCGGCAAGAACGGCTTGGCTGAGACCTGCTGAGACCAGACAGACACACGGCTCGCATAGCGGGACACGAGCTTGCTCGCCGGCCCTTGCACCGCAACAGGGCATGGCCCAGTCAACCAAAAGACTTGCTCGCAACGGTTCACACATCTATTGCTGGAAACATTATCGAGAAACGCGGTTTATCATTCTAAGCACATAACTTTTTATTATGAAGGACAAACTTAATTATTAGTGGATTATTGCTCACTTGTCGGTGCTTAAGTTTGAAAGTGGGTTGTAGTTTTAATTTCCATTTTCCTGCTCAATTTTACACTTTTACTACCATTACTTTTTGTAGTTTTTAAGTACTTTAAGGCTTAACATGTAATACAAACTTCGGTGCAGCAGCGTTTGCGGTGCAGCTCGCTCGCCGCACGAGCTGGTCACATATCCAAGTCGCTGAGCTTGCACGATCTCCCATACGGCGCACAAACATCTCGTGCGCTGTTTTCGACTTGCATGCATGATGGGTTGCTCTGCATTTTTTAATCACGATAATTATCTAGAATTTGACTTCGCAAATAACTGTTGTTGGCGCCTCGTGCTTGGGGGGGCCAAAGGGGTGGGCCAGGCCAGGCTAGGCTCTCGCCGTCGTGGCCCCCCGAGCTCCTGCGCCGGAGCGTGTCCCCGGCGACCGGGGCGCTTTGTCGGCGCTGAGAGCCGAGTCGTGTATGCTGCCTGGGCACGGTGATGGAGGAGGCGGCAGCGGCGCGTGGGAGCCCCCGAGCCCCCGCCCCGCCAGCTCCGCGCGGCCACGCCGGGCTACGCTCCCTCCGGCCCCTCCGGCCCCTCCGGCCCTTCCGGCTCTGGCCCTCCGGCTCTGGCCCTACGGCCCCTCCGGCCCTCCGGCACGCCACCGGCCTGGCCTCTCCTTTTGTCGCGCGCTCCCTTCCGCGGAACGAGCAAACTCTTTAATTGTTCCAGTGCGCCGCGCCGCGCCGTGCAGTACGAGTGCGTTGCCCCCCTTCACCTCCCCTCCCCCCCTCTCATCATTACTTGTAATTCGCCGCTTTGTTGTACCTCGCCTCCTTTTGCGGTTTGCAAGCACGCTGCCGGCGGCGCCCCCCCTCCCCCTCGCCTCGCGCCGCACTAGACGTCTGCCCCGCTCTCCTCTCACCCGTGCTAGACGAGACGCCCCCCCCCTCCTCACCAGGGCGTTTACCTGGCGGGCGGGGATGAAAATGGATGTGCAGAGCCGACCGCAGCAGGAAAAGAGCTGTGATGGTCGGAGACGTCGGCCGGGTGAGACTATAAGGCACATCATGTGTGTGGGAGAGAAAAAGCAGGGATCTTCGATACACGTTCATTCTTGAACAATTTGATCATCCATTTCGATAGTAGTTTGTTCCTAAACGAAGAACTTTAAGTGATCGTGTCTCTCTTTGCTCTCTCAACGTCTGGACCTGCCCAGCGGCGTATTTCTGCCTCGAGGGTTATACATGCAAATGTCGGAAGGTGACGCGTGATACTGCACAAGACAATGGGGATAATATTAGCCAGAGCGGCTCCGCTTCGCGTTGCAGTGCGTTCAACTCGAGGGGAAGGGAGAAAGGAGGGGGGAACCGGGCCATCGGTAACGCCAGGATGTGGGCGGATGACAGAGCGCCCGATCATCTTCTAACGCGTTCTTGTTGTTTGTTTCCAGGTAGAAGTCTGAACCTACACTGCCCACCACCGCCACCACCATGAGTCTCACCACGACGCAGACCACCACCGTGACGGCCGCCCCCCGCGCCGAGGCCATCATGGCCGACCTGCAGCGCCGCCTGCAGCCCGCCGCCCCCGGCGCCGTGTCGTCGTCCGGCGTGACGCTGGGCGCGCAGCAGCTGCGCTTCCGCGGCGTGGCCGCCGGCACCACGGGCGGCGGCGCCATCCCGCCCACGCCCTCCAAGACCACCACGCCCAACGCGACCCTCGCGAGGCGGTTCTCCTTCGTCTGGCCGTTCATTTCAAAAGGTGAGTTTGCCGACTCTTGCTCTGCGGATTGCCTATACTTCCGCCGCGACGTCGTCGTCGTGTCGAGGGGGCCCGGATAAGATAGCTGTTCGGCCTGGCGGGGCGTATCGCGCTCGCTGCCGCCGGTATGTGCCACGGAGGCGGCCATCCCCCCCCCCCTCCTTTTCCCCTTCGTAGCACACGGATTATGGATGCACCGTCGCTCTGAATGCACCGCCGCCATTGACATTCGGGCGCAGCAGGGGGGTCGCGACGCTCGGCTTCGCTCGGCTCTCAGCAGCATCAATCACTCGCGACGACCGTTTCTTCTGTCGGGGACGGGACGGTCGCGAGACGTTTGCCGGGGCGGCTAGGGCTGGCTGAGTGTCGCATTGGCCAACAACACACCTCTCTTTCACTCGGCGCAAAAAAAGGCTTGTGCCTCACCTCTGAGTACGTTGGAGTGCGCTATAGCTAGCCTGCTCGCTCTCACGCGCCTGACTCACTTCGCGGCGGGAGGGGCGTGCCCGCGGCCCCGCGGCCCCGCCGGGCCGGGCCTCACGCGGGACCCACGCCTGGTCCACGCGGGCGCGGCGTGTTGTGGCGGCGGGCGGCCGGGCTGGGGTCGGGCGGAGCGCTGCGGAGCTGCGCCCAGAGAGGTTTGGAGGCGACCTCGCTCATCCGCCCTGCGAGGGTCCTTATCGCTCGCCACGGTCCGGATTGGATCGAGTATGCCGCGATTGGGAACTAGATCCTCTGGCGGGCTGCCCTGGCAGCGGCACTGTGGCTGTGGCGCCCCACACTGTGGCGGCGGTGAGGGGAGGGGAGGGGTCTGCGGACCCTGGCCGCCCTCTGTGCCTCTCTCTGGACACCACCGCACCATTGACAAGCCAAACTGTCCTGTCCACCGCCACCTCTTGCCTGTGCCGTGAGCCGGTCAAACTCGACCACCTCATCAAGCTGTAGTAGTACGCACTGCGCCAACTCGGAGAAACTCAGCGCCCCCGAAGGGCCGCGAAGAGATCGCTTTTGGGTAATTCATTCTACTGGTCGGTAGCGGAGTTAGTCAGTCGAGAATTCGAAAGTGAGGGGGGAAAGGGGGGGGGGGGCTCCGCCCGAACACGTCCTACCGCGGCAGCGCGGCATGCCCGGGCCGATGCTGTGTCAGCAACTAACTTGATGCATGCCCGGTTGTTCCAATTCCCATGTCAGCCGACAGCGTGGAAGAGGGTCCATGGGGGTGGAGGAGGGTGAGGGGGTGAATTCGCGTGGCGAAGGGACTCGCGGGGGCTCTGCAGATCGAACTTTAGAACAAAGAGTTAAAACTGTTTAGAGTACCTCCATCTTAGTTTAAACAAACTGACAGACGCATTTGTTGCGAGTTATTTATTCAAAACTGTACCGCTTTGCGTACAGTAGAGCCCGCGGGTAGGTCACCTTGCCAGGCTTTAAACTGGGGTTACACGGTTGCACCGACTTAGATATTCGCATAGAAGCAGCGTCTTTGTTTCAAATTAAAAATGTATGCGGGAACTCCGGCCACTCTAGCCATTAAGACAACCTCACGTGTGCAGTGGTGCATATCTGGCGACGCGATAATTGCCATTCAAATAGCCGACGTCTGCCGACTGCGATCGCGCTGGTCCCCGCGGACTCGCCACACACGATCCGTCCCGTGCGGTTCATAGAACTCTGCCTGTTGAGTAACCGCTCTGAGGAGCGCGCTATGATAGCCGGGCCCGGGGCGCCAACACATTAGTCATTGCCGATCGGCAGGCGTTTGCCTTTCCAAGGCCGCGGGCCTGTTGCCGCGCTGCGGTGTCCCCTCACACACACACACAAACACACACACAGCCGGGCCCGGCCGCGGGGGCGTCCACAGCGAATGCCTTTGTAGATTATGCCATTCTTCCGATTCTTCGGCTGCTGCCGCTCCGACGACGGTCCTTTTCCTCTTGGGAACGGGAAACAGGCGCCCTCCGACCGGTCGACACCGGATCTCGCGCCGCTTCGGCCCCTTCGCTGACGCTGACAGTCGGCGAGCTGGCCGCGAGCTGCCTCGCCTCCTCGCCGATCCATTGCCGTGGATCCCCCCCACTTACCGAGTTACCGCTTGTCACGGGACTTGTCGCGCGCAGAGCCGTCGCAGCCCCTCGTGGCCGCTGTCCAGCCCAGCCAGTCGCGTCCGGAAGCTTCGAGCAGCCCAGCCCAGCCTCGCCCCGCGCCTCCTGACGCAGTCGGTCCATCCTCCCACGGCGCGTCAAGGGACCCCCGGGCGGGGCGGGGCGGGGCGGAGGCGGCGGGGGAGGACTGTTGTTGGTGGGCTTAGCACAGATTGGAGGCGGGTGGTGAGGGTGGGGATCTAAACCTCTACGCCACGACGTGCCGCACCACGGCAAGGTCGAATTTATTCCGATGCGCTCTAGGGCTTTCTCCAGCCAACGGAGAGAGGAGGGGTGGGAGAGGGAAATAGAACTTCTGGAAGTTGAACTGAAACCCCGCCGAGCAGAGAGAACGCTGGGGGCCTGGTGGGGCTGGGGAGGGTGGCGCTGGCGCTGGGGCCGCCCCCCGCACGTGATGCTGCGGTGGCGCCCGGCCCGGTGTCCCGCCCCTGCACCTGGCCTGGCCGCGTGCTCCTGTAATTAGACTGTACGTGCGCTGCGCGCCCGTGTCGCCTGCGCGGCGCCGCCCACCCCGCCGCCGGCTTGACCCTTTCTCCTCCGGCTGCCATTCTGCCATTGAAGCCCGTCACTTCCGTCGCCTCCCCAACCCCGCGCCCGCTCGGGTGGGCCCTATGGCCCGCATAATGCTCCCATGAGGCCCTATGATTGTCCGCCCGGGGCTCGTCTGTCGTGGGAGCGCCCTGCTGACCCTGCGTGCGGGCTATGGACGCTGGCTGGAGTGGACGACACTGGCCGCAATGAATGGTAGAGAATAGATCGGCCGGGGGAAACTTCCGCCGGGTCTCCTCTTGCGTGCCTCTTGGCTGCGTCATGCCCATCACTTGTGACGTCCAGGAGAAGTCCGATCGGTTTGCTAATCGCGTGCTTTGTGTGTTTTTTGTTACAGAGAACACGGCCGCGTCGGAGCCCTTCCTCAAGTCGCGGTGCTCGCAGCTTCTGCGGCAGTTCCCCGCCTTCATCAGCGCGCGCCAGGACGAGAGCGCCCGCACCATCCGCGACCTCATCTCGAGGTAGGTTGGCTCCGGCCAGGCTCGGCCATGTTTGACGTTTAATTACCGACGGCTCGGGCGCCGCGCCGCGCCGCGCCGCGCCGCCTGCCTGCGCCACCCGGGGGTACTAGACGAGGCTGCTGCCCGGCATCCAAAGTTCGTTACTATGGAGCGCCTTCTTGTAATCCCTAAAAGTTGGCCGGTGTTCCAAACAATCTAATGCCTCGTTGCCTCCGCGGCGGCGGCGGGTGGCGCGCGGGGGCGGGGCGGGCTTAGGCGCTTATCAATAACGGGGGCCCGCCGCGTTGCGCGCTGCGGCGGCAGGGGCTGAGTGAGGGGAGTGTGGCGGGGGCGGGACTTGACTTGAATTTGGGTTCCCCGTTTTTCCTCGAATCGAGTGGCTCACGAGCCTATACTTAGACGTGACGTTTTCGAACTAGACGTGACGTTTTCGAAGTGACCTGTGTGATTCAGGTGCTTTGCTTCCGCCCGAGTCGCAAGTGTTGGTGACTCACAGGGCAGACGTCTGCTTAGCATTTCCCTTGCGTAGGGGGGCCAGGGCGAAGCCGGGGGTCAACGCTGGGGACGAGTGACAGCGCGAACACCGCGACCCGCACTTTCTCAAAGTGCTGCGCGACATTTCAGGCCGGAAGGGAGGACGAGGAACTAAGTTTTGTGTCGTCTTGTTACAGGGTGCTGACCCAGCTGAAGGCGGTGTGGCTGGTGCTGGCCGTGTACCTATCGGTCTTGGTGCTAGGCTGTCTGAGCTCGGCCGTGCTGTACAAGCTCCTGCTGGCCAACAAGCCTCTCGGCCTGTGGTTCCTCGTTGCCTGCATCGCCGCCACGGGCGCGATTGCTGGCGTCTCCTTCACCGCCAAGGAGCGCCCAAACCAGAAGCAGCAGCGGCAGCAGATTCAGGTGGCAGAGGTGCCTCTGCGACCGCAGGTGCAGGTGCCCCGCGTCGCCGTAAACTAGTGCGTGGGACTGGACACTTCGCTGTATATATCTCGCCCTCAGCCGGGGCCATAACGGACGTGGCGATTTTTGTTCGCCTTTGTTCGATTTGACGAAAAGTTGCTTGGATCAACACGTTGTGGACATTATTTGGACGCCAACGGCTTTTCTTCGAAACGAGTGCAGGCCGACACCATGACCTAAAGTGAACGGCAAGGGCAGAATTATCATTATAGTTGATTTCTGAGCATTAAGTGTCACTCTTAAGATTCCATCCTATTAATTTAGGTTTATGTAACAGGGTACATTTTAAGATACATGTGGGCCATTTTTAATCGTGCCAATACAGATTCATAGTAATGAATTAGATTTATTCATAGGGTTCCATTTTTTTTTTTCTGACTCTTGGTCATTTAGCCAGAAGTCTTGGGCACATATTCAAACTCATACTCACATTAGATAAAGTTATATTAGCACCTAATATACTATACGAGTTTGCACTGATTAGATGTAGAAGTTATTTGACAAGCTTGCGATATTGAAACAGAGGGTGTAAGTAAGAGAAACAATTCATTTCTCTTGACTCAAAGTCAAATGTAGGAATGGTGATTATTAACCAAGTAGCACTGGCTTAAGCACAAATCAAAAAACGTTATCTTTTAAAACATTCTGTGATGGTCATATCTAAGTGGCATTTGTAGAACATTTTGTGTAGTAGATGATCTCCCCCTTAATTTCTTTAAAAGAAACTCTTAAAGAGTTTTTTTTTTTGACAATCAGCTCAACATATCGTTGTAATTAATCTTTGATCATATTAATGGTGCTGGGTGTACTTTACTGTCAAATTTATGTTCAGTTTTTGAACAAATAACACATCAGCAATTTGTCGTTTGCCATGTGATGCAATTAGAATATTCTTTTTATGAACAATTGGGGAACTTCTTACTTCCCATGCATTTATTTTTTCTTTCTATAAATTATTGAAGGCTACATGCTTTAGTGATGTGTAGTTCTCATGCCACTCAGTATGCTTATTTGTTGATTTCTTTTTAAAACTGTTTCTTATCAAATATTTATAATTTGTTGACGTGCATATCAGGAGCTCTCAGGACAGATCTCTAGATCACAGGCGAATTTTTATGTAACTTACTTTGTCCTATGTAAGCCTCTGGTTTGAATGTGTGATTCATGAGGTTTACCTCATTCCTCATGTTTTTGTATTCTTAATGCTCAAATCTTTGACTGAGTATGCAGCCCATATGTAAGTGGGCTGTGGCCATTGTGTGTTTCACCACACTCATTATATTCTAGTGACTGAATAAATTGTTTATTAAGAAAAATTTACAACTCTATTTGTTACTTACTCTGTTATCCAAACTGACGATTTCTACTCTTCGTATAACTTCAAAACACATTCGAAGAGACTTTTTGAATCTTACTTGATAATGACCTTGGTTATACATAGAACCACGTGATAGTTCGTTGAATTAAAAAGCGAAGAATTGGACAGGTGATATACTACTGATAGGCGCACCTTAAAATTCCTTTGCGAAACGCGGAAGTGGTGTTTCATATCTGCTTCGTGGCAAATTACAAGTGTTTGCAGTTCTGATAACTGCAGCACAAGCACTTTTTTATCTTCAGCATTCTTTTTGTCTTTACAGCTGTGTAACAAATCAATTCAGGGATGCCTGCAAGCCGAGGGGAGGAATGTAGAAGTGGACACAATATGTGTACCGGGTGTAACTGTGAATGCGCAGCAGTGTTGCGGGATTGCATACCCGCCAGGGCTGCAGGGGTCATGGCTCCTTACGGGCGAATTGGGTAGGCAAACCCGCAACACTGCTGCGCATTCACAGTTACACCCGGTACATCGGGAAGAACATTCAGAAACAATCATGACACAATCGGACACAATCACACACAATCGGAAACAATCACACAAAATCGGACACAATCATGACAGAATTTTTCAAAATACTTTTACTCAACAATCTGAGACAATCAGAAACAATCACAGACACAGTCATACACAATCACACCCAATCTGAAACAACGATTGTCTAGATATAATCTTGTATACACTTTTTTGCCCAGTTCTACACCCCTGGCTACAAACCATTTTCTCATTGTTAGTTACTGTACCGAATGCACGCCCGCATTAGCGGTCTACCTGGTTACTCAAGGTCAGGGAATATGGGCAAACGTGCGGACACGACACACGGCTGCCTGGATGCACCGGTATAGTAATCCGAAGAGAGAGTGTGGTCTGTTGGACTCGGCACACATCCTTTCTGATATAATCTGTATTAATCTCGGAAAATTAGAGTCTGCTCGATAGCTATTAATAGCGAGATGAGTACAGATTATGCACGTTCAGTACTGAATTAATTCACAGCTTGAAAAATTTAAGCGACGTTGTGCATGCCCGTAATATTCAATATCTTTGAAATTGCAGGTGTCGTTTTACGGGTTGGAACCATAGAGGTACATGTGTTGGTGGGGTGGGGCCCTGAAGGGCTCCTCCATTCGGAACAAAATTAATGTTTCTCCAGTGCCGCGGCGTGTCAAGCCCATCGTGGCTGTTCTGGCCCAGCCCGCGGTCGCGGCCTGGCAACGCGAGCGCCCGATAAGAAGGCGATAAATAGCGGGGGGTTTTCATAATTGTGCCTCCTCTGCCCGGCCCGCTCCCGCTGTGCCGCGCACCGATCTCAATATTGAATTCAGAGGAAATTATGAAGCAAGAGAGATTGTATCGATGCCTACTGTGCTATACGACCAATTAAAACAGAGCATCATCGTCACGAATTGTACAGTGAAACGAAATCACGCCATACTCTTGCAATCTTTTGTTTGAATAGGTTGCGGTTTTTTTTCTGTAATCCTATCTGCAGTTGTTTGCGTGGGAAAAATGAGGAGCTATTCATTGTGGCGCTGGAGACAGGCAGGAGGTGCGGGTGGGACGAGGACCGGAAAAGGGCACGGGGGCAGTTTACACGCCCCCCTGTTGTGTACCCCACACGGTTTCAAGTACGGCTGTCCCCGTGCCGCACCCTTTATCAGCTGTCATGTGCCCCCACTGCTGGTGGTCACACTTGACCCGTGCGCGGGCGACCAGAGAGGCGGCCGAGGCGCAAGCGAGGTGCACACACACCGCACCGCGCCTGCCTTTCTGGGAACACGATCCCCGGGGAAGTGTGTCACAAGAGGGAGGAAGTATACGACAACAGGAAGACTGGTGACACACTGGCTGGGCGAGAGGAGGCGGCCCTTAGTAGTAGAGGGCGGCGAGGGTGGGTGGGTGGTAAAGAGCTGGGGGCAGGGGGTGCCGGTGGCAGAGCCGTCCCGAACACAAAAGGTGGAATAATCATGGCGATAATGGAGGCGCTTTCACGGAGACGGACGTGCGGGGGGCGGGGAGCAGGGGCGGGCAGCGGGCAGCCCTCTCGACTTTAATTATTCAGCCCGAGGATGCTGCTGCTGCTCTCTCTGCTCCACGAGAAAAGTGTATAACGCCGCCGACCAGGAGAGGTGTTTTTGATTTGACCTGTCTCGCCTCGCCTCTCGTCCCCCATCCCCTCGCCACCAGCCCGGGGGCAGGGTGAATCTCCTTGGCGCACCTTGTACATCAAAATCATCCCGCCCCGCCGCCGCCACCGCCTGCCTGCCCGGCTCGGGCAAACTTTTCACTCCGGCGCTCACTTCTTCTCCGGGCCGCTGCCGGCTCTCACTCTCTCCACTTGCTTCCTCGCGCGCTGGAACAGGTGCGACAAGGGCGGAGGCACGGCGGTGCGGCGCGGGGCAGAACGCCAGAGCCTCGCCCTCGAGGAGCCACCCTCGCAACCGGTGCCCCGGTGCCCCGCGGCCCGGGCCCGGGAGCGCCTGGAGGCGGGCCGCCGCCCGGGCCCGAGGCACGCCTGTTGGACGGGTGGCCTACCTCGCGCCCCACAGGCGCTCCTGGCGTGCTCCAAGCAGTGTGCTCTCTGCGGAGGCTGACGTGATGTGCAGCTGGCAGCAGGGTGATTCCGCACAGCGCGCCTAGCCTATAGTGGTGGCTGGTGGCCCCGCCTGCCGACTGATTCCGAAGAACCATCTCCTATACCTTCCGTATAGCTCCGTCCTTGCCGCACTCATTGAGCAGCGCCCCTTGAGGTCTCTTCGGAATCAGTCTGCTGATGCAGAAGATCGCCTTCGTACCTCCGTCCTTGCCGCACTCATGGAGTGAGACCAGAGAGGGAGATGCAGGGGACACGGTGGATCGCTCTTCTGAATCAGCCGGCAGAGCGCGAACTGGGACGGATTGTGAGAGGGCGCCATTTGCCATGGATCGAAGGTGCACACCAGCTCCGCCGGCCTAGTGGTGGCACAGGTAGGAGCAGCCCCGTCCAGGAATAGGGAGGTGGCTCGGAGTGGGGCGCGGCTTGTGCGGCCAGCCCGACCGTCGTCCACGGCCTTCACCCTGACCGAACCTGCGAGATGTAAGCCAATCATGCGAGAGGGGAGTTACTTTCACGACACTACCCCGCACCGCCCCCTTTGCTAGCCACCCCCTCCTCCCGACACACCGCACCCCCTAGGGTCCCCTGTATGGGTCTCCCACGAATCCCGAGGGGGGCCTGTCTCCTCCGGGGACCTCCGGCGGCCGGGGACTCGCGGGCCGGGGAGAAGGGCTGGGTGCGGGGCGCGGAGGTTGGGCGCGGGGCTGGGCGCGGGGCTGGCGCTGGGCAGTTCCGGGAGGTGTGCGGGGAGGGGCGGGGGAGGGTGCGCGGTCCCGGCTGCTGCCGGAGGCCGCTCTGAGCTAGGCAGCGTGCAGCGCAGCAGTTCGATCCCGGACGCGGAGGGGGTAGGACGGCCAGAGCAGGGAGGGGAGTGGGGCGCGGGCGCGACGTCCCGTGGCGAGGCGAGAGACGCGCGAGGCTCCAGCCGCCGGCGCGCCGCGAGTGTGTGTGTGAGCGTGCGTGTGTGTGTGCGACACTCAGGACTTAACTACTGCAGCCCTACCGCCCTGCCCCGTTACACGTAAGATTCTTCGGTCGCTTCTAGCTATAGTTTTATATGCGCCCCTTCTTTGAAAAGGGCAACCATTTTTTACTGCTTACATAAGACACGAAAATACTATTTCAAACTGTCCGTCCAAAAATTTGCTTGACTTCAAAATTTTACGGGGACACGACACTTTTATACGGAGGATAGAATGGAACTTTATCATTAACAATTTGCATTACCAGAAAATAAATCTTTCGACGAGAAAGGACAAAGCGCTGTTCCGATGAAATCCGTTATTCCGATTATGTCACGCCCCTCCCCTTCGCCTTACTCCCCCTCCCCTTCCCCCACTGAGGCCTGAACGCTATCGGCACCTCCCTCTCACCTCCCTCCCGTTGCTACTGCCCCGCCAATGAGGAAAACTTATCTAAAGCGATCGGAGAGAATTGTGTCGTGGGAATCGGATGTAATATCTGGAACGGCGTTCCCGAGGCCAACGACGGCGGCCCGGGTGGGACCGGGGCGGACAGGCGTGTGACGGCCGATCACGAGCCGCGATGCGGGGCTATCTGTGCGCATATTTCTCCGTGACTCATCTCCTCGTCCTCTTCCTAGTCGTCCTCCTCCTCTGGGTAGCAGCACGGTCCGGTGTGGCGAGCGACGGCGGACTGTATCAGATCAGCTGATGTTAGTGCTTGTTAGGGAGCGCCCCCCGGCCAGCCCGCCTCGCCCCGCCCAGCTTCAGAGCACACACAATCTTGTTGACAAGGGCGCCGGCTTGGTTCTGTTTCTCCCTCTCCCTCTCCCCGGGCCCCGGTCTGGCGCCCGCCGTGCTCTCCCCGCGGGGAGTCTGTCCGAGCCGAACTGGCCCGGTCCGGATCTCCTTCCGGCCGGGTCCGCGAGGTGGTCGCGGCTATCAGAAGGTGGCACGGCGGGCGGGCGGGGGAGGGGGCGACGCCAGCGACTATCAGGGAGCGAAAGTTGTGCGGCGACTTCGCCTTCCTTCTTCTGATTTTGGACTTGACCTTGCCTCCCCGCCGCTCCGCTGGCGTCCGCGTCCGGTGCGGTGACGTATTGAAGGATCAGTTCGCGACAGTTCAGCCCGCCACAAAAGGAGCCACAGGCGGAGCAGCGGGGGGCGAACAAGCGACTTCCTCCCCATCTGTATCATATCCCCGTTGCTTGCTACATCTCCTCCTGGCCCTCGGGTGATTGCTTCCGCAGGAAGTCGCTAAGACAACAGACAACACT